ACAAAAGCTGGTTTTTTTTTTTGTAATTGTATTATATATGAGTGTGATGAAAAAATAATTCTGAGGTGTTTGGCTTGCTGCTTCCGTTCTCTCTTAATGGTCTCGGAAAAAGGTGCTGTGAAAAATAAGCATTTCCCATATGAAATGATGCTAAAACTATTTAATTAATAATTTTAAAAAAAACAAAACAGTTATGTGAATTAGTTCTTACTCAATGCTATTCAATTTCTTTTTATAATTTTCCTGTAAGAATGTATAACTGTTAGTGAACTATGGAATAACTGGAATGGACCAGTAAAAAGCTAATCTGTATTTCTGATTTGGTGAAGTTGATTCAATATTAAAAGTTTTTAGTGTTACTGAAATCAAACCTTCTGTCTGTAACCAAAAGGTGTAGCTCTAATTTAAGGAATGCTAGTGTGGCTTGAGAGTAAAAATCTTTTAAATAGTAATAGGAACAACATTATCTTCAACATCCAAACAGTAATGTCATCATTTGTAGTTACAGTCTTTTGATACATGAAGGAAAGTCTAATATGCACAGGCAACTTGTATGAAGCAGTAATGTGACCATTGCTGTAAATAGTGAGTCTGCTTCTATTGTAAATGTTTCAACAATTGGGAAAAGTAGCAAATAGAATTCTAAGTGGCATTAAAATTTGGAAATTAAGATGTCTGTTTGGTGAGAAATTTAAGAATAACCATCTTTATAAATATATCCATGAGATGTTAGTGGTGTGGTAAAGCCAATCAATCAACCAACCAACAAAGCAAATTAGTAAGATTTGCCAGGATGTAAACCAATAGAGCTATTTTTGTAGTCCACTAAATGGGTCCAGTTAATCCAAAAGCTGAGTTTACCTAACCTTTAAAAAAAAATAAAATTGGTTATTCTGGACTTAGAAAACATAACATAATGGTTTTACTTTATCTGATCCTTTTCTGTTTCTTTTGCCCTGCAACAAAGGAAATTAAGGATGGAAAGTTCTCAGTAACCATTTTTAAAAATCAGAATAAGATCCAATTACATAATCCTTGTGAGAGTTTCTCATGTGGTAAAGGCAGGAAGGAATATTGTTAGAGCCTGCTGCAGTTCAGTAATTTTTACCTGCCAGATAATCCGTGGAGCCTGGTGTTATCTGACTTGTGCAGAAACGTCTTAATTTATTGCAACTTGAGCCAGTAACTAGAAGAGAATCACAGCTGAAAAACTTCCCTGTTGGCCCTCTATCGTACCTGTCAGAAACTTAGCATAGGAGCTAATCTTTCCTAGGTAAATTTAGTAGTTTCTCGAGTTTCCAAGTGCTTTTTTGCCATAAAATATTCCACTGAAACTTACAGTATTTCCGTTATAGATAGCTAAATGTAAAAAATGTTTGCTTTAGTTGTGTTACCAGAAAATAAGAAAATGAAAACATAATTATTTTATTATTTAATTATAAAAGAATATATATTCAAATCTATTCCTAATGAATCTTCTGTAGCACTGCATTCTTAATGAATACTGTAGACATAGAGAAGTTGCCCAAATTGGTTGCAGGAACTAATTTGATGGCAATATTCTCTCTCTGATGGAGCAGACACAGGTAGTAAAATCATTATTGGTTGCCTAATGAGAAGATCCTACTGTGAAAATAAACAGCTGTCCACAATAAAGAAATTGTTTACAAGAAGCCATTACATGTGAGACACTTTATTCCCTTGAGAAAGGAGTGAAGGCAACGAATACTGAGCAGCTGGATTTTTTTTTTTTTTTTTTGGCGATGTTTATTTCAAAGAAATCTATTTGGATGTTTTTTTTCATAACTTTAGTTTTAGACTCTACAAGCATCATCCTTTTTGTGTTACCACTTTATTTTGCTTGGAAGACTGTAACTACTTTTTGGTTTTGGTTTTGTTTTTTGAGATTTCTGTGTATTACAGATGTTCCCTAACTGGTCATAATTGTATGCACACACTGTAGCTGGAAAGCTTTTCATAGCCCTGTCTTGTGGGGCATATAACAGCCCTGCCTCCTTTCAAGAATATCTCCCAATAAATTTTCATTCCAAGAATGCCACTACTAGTCAGTTTGATGCCTCACTGGTGGGGCGGTATCTAAAGGCCAAAAGGTAATGTTCTGTGACCTATCATTCAACAGCATCAACAAGAAGTCTTTCCTATGGAAGGACCAAAATCCTGCTCATATAACTTGATTGCTCTGTTACCCTCTTCTGCATGTTTAAAGTGTGGGTAAACTAAGATGAGAAGAATACCAACAGGGCATTGAAATGGAATGAAGTGATGGGCAGAAAACTTACCATCAATCCCAGTCTGTATTTCTCACTATTTGGCCTTTAAGATACTTCTGCATCTGTAAGACTTCCTGATTTCATTTGCAAGGCTTTCAAGTGCTAAGTAGCTAAAGAGCAGCTGTGCTTAAACACAGCCACACAGGCTTCACAGTGAAAGAACAGCTACAGAAAGGCAGGGACTGATAAACTGATATGGGAGTTTGTGTTCTTTTCTCTGTTAGGTTTAGCTGTTTGTCAGAGACAATTGTTCTGTTTGTTTCTCACACTAGTAAGTAAATAATTGCTCTAAGTACACTTAGCTAGACTCATGTGGAACATTTCTCCCTCTAGAAGTTATTTCTTAGCTTCCTAGACGATGCCTGTATTACCACCTGTATTACAATATGTCTCAGGAGCAGTATAGTCCCTAGTTTGGTGTCTCCACAAACAGAGGGCAGAATTCTCTCAAAGCAAACCTCCGATTCCTCAGGCAGGGGTGTTCATTGATAATTATCTATTGATGAGTCTGTCCACAGAATGAAATAAGGTAATATTTCATATTCTGGACTAAATGAGGATGAGATTCAGCTCCTATCACTCATATTTAGCCTTCATCCCCACTATGAGACTTCCAGAGTATGGTAAGGCCTCTGTGGGGTGTCTGCTTGTCATTCCTTTGATGAGGTGGGCTTTCAGATCACTGGATACTCACTCACATCCTGCATGTTAACAATTTTACAGGTAGACACCAGTTCAGACAGGGAATCATAAGAGACATTTAAGTTCTGTGTCAGGGATGTTATTATGACTATTCACCTTAAGTTCCTTTCTAAGGATATATGAAAATTTGTTTGATTCATCATATTAACAAACATGTATTACTTTCTGAAATATGTGAATTCAGTTCTGGTATTTCTGTGCGCACTTGTGATGATTCAGGAAGAGCACTTCTCTGTGTTAAGACTCCAGACCTAAAGGACTGGCAGTCTTGATGACATATTTTTCCAAAACTTTGGAATTGTTTCTGTGACAGGGAAGGTTCACTCCGTCAGATGTTAGGTAACATCTAAAGTTATCTATAGTGTCTGTCAAGCTGCCATATGAATTTCTGTTTACACTTTCACTAAGTTTAACAGCATTGCTGAAACGTTCCAGACAGATATTTGCCTTAGAAGAACAGTTTGCCAGTCTGTATTTGAATAGAAATTACGACCTTATCCAGATATGTAGTGTTTCTGCAGGGAGTGTTTCTCAGACTCATCCACGTAAAGAAAATATCTGTTACGTTGGAGAGGCCATAAATTTACATTCTTACAACAATTCATCTTTATCCTATGTTATCTACATTAACCTAATTGGGTATTTCCTTCCCTTTTATATCTGTTGCATTTCCAATAATTCTTTCAGGCTAGTAGGATTGAGGAAGAGAAGCTTCTAGGATTACTTACACAGAGACATTTGTGACTTGTGCACATGAAGGAGCTTGTGTTCCTGCAGAAGCTGGTTAGGCAAAACTTCTCCAGCTTATAGAACTGGAGTTGCTTTTGTTTATTCGGAGTTTGGGTTTTTCTAGAGTGGATTTGCCCACAGAGTGAAAACATGTTTTGGAGATCCATCTCAATTACAAATAAATATGCTTTCTTCTGTGAACTCTGCAGGCTGTCAGTTGAGTCCCACAGACACAAGATGAGAATGTAATCATTGTCTTAATACAGAGCCGCAGGTATTATAGCACATTTAGCAAAATAGAGTGCATGTGATCCACAAAGAAAGGTACACACAGGCAATGACATTTTCCCCAGAATCAGAACTAAAGCATTTCTTTAATAATACAATTCAAAGGCAGGAAGTAATGTGGAGCTTTTGGCCTCCTGATAAGTCATTCTGGTGCTTGTTTTCCGTAACAACTGGGTAGTTATGCCTTATTTCATAGACCTCTCTATCCTCTGACCTGATTTTGACTAATTTAAGTTTGCATTGTTCGATCAACATTAAAGGCATTTAGAGAAGGTAAGAATGATATTTTAAGTCCCTTTAATTGTCCTTCACAGCGCCATAAAGTGGCAAGAGCATCACAAATTTTGTCTAAACAGCAGTTTCCTATGTGCGTGTAGGATTGTAGACATTTTTAAGCAAGCTGTAGGTTATCTAGCTGAGATACTGCTAGAAAAGCAGCTACTGCAGTGCAGAGCTCTATGGAGGATGCAAATTTTATCTGAGAAGCTGAGTATATTTTCATGTAATTGATCTTTGCTGATCAGTTTTATCGCCCCCCGTATAAACGAAAGTTGTCAGTGATGGCTATTAGCATGCTCTAAGTCAACTATGTGTTTATTTAACTTGTGAACTGTGTTGTATGTGTTAGGATTTTCCAGGATGAGATATGAGGTGCATTATAAAGCACCTTTTCAAATCACCCCTGCTATAGTGATAGTACTTGGTTTCACAATCTGTAATTCAGGTTAATGAAAGTAAAAGATATGTGTTTGGTTTGTCCCTCATTTTATTTAGGTATTAAGAGAGTGCTGTATCCTGCCTTAACATGGAGTGAATGTATAAGCTGACAAAATAGGTGTAGATATTCCTCACCAGATACATTTAAATTATAATAGGTTTTGTAAATCGAAAGTGTTCTGAGTAGTGTTCTGTTTTCAAAATATTTTTTTTTCTTATTTTAAAATATGTGAAGTATTTGTAAGTTCATGTAAATGCTATTCTTATTCGCAGATAATGCACCTCAGGTAGCAATTACTGCACCAGGATCTGGTAACCATAGAAACAGCTCTACAGGCCCAACACCTGACTGCTCTCCTCCATCACCAGACACTGCACTTGAAAACATAGTAAAAGTTATACGTCCTCAGGTAGGTGCTCATCATAAGCATCATCTTCTTAGTTCTGGTTTTCATTTTAGAAGCAGGCTATCATGCATGTGTTCTAAGAGGACATTATCACTATGAACATTTGAATAGGTCAGAAGCAGATAAACAGAATACAAATTATTTTTTTGTACTTGGGATGCAGTCTTGATAGCAGAAGATAGACTATTTTATGAACAAGCCCAGCAATGTACAGCAATTTATAGTGTCTCAACTTTTATCCTTCCTAACTGTATGTATTTCTAATAGTGTTTGGTGAACAAGGTACTTAATATATATAAAATTTGAGTGCCCTTTTTAATTCTTTAAGAAGTACAGCCTTTTAAAATAAAAGCTGTAAAGTAAATAAATCTTAGAATTCAAGTTAGTAGTGAAGGTAGAGGTAATCAGCATAGAGGAGTTTATTTTGGGGTCATAGGGCAACATGGGTCAGAATAAACCTCAGGGGGTTATCTAGTTCCCCACTTAAAAAGGCATGACATTAGGCGTGTTAAAGCTAGCTGACAACTACACACTGAACTGACTGTGAGACTTTTCTGGTGGGAACCTGAAGAAATCCTGTCCTCTCCTACCAATTATTGGGTTCAAATGCAGCCATCTGTTCTTCATTGCTGAGCTGACCTCTGCCACTGAGCCGCTTTGATGCTAGTGGATGCAGGTTTTGTATCATCAGTACATTGCCGGCATTTGTTTTACTTGACAAGTAATCTGATGGATACATGATATCTTGGTAAGACTTCTATAGGACAGATTGTGTTGGTGCTATGCTTGTGAGCATGTCACAGTGATGAAAGTGAATCTTCCTTTCAGAACTCATTGGAGCACATATTTCAGAAGGTCTTGCAGACTTAAAGGTAATTTCTAGGAGCACCTGCCGGTTTTATCTAGGAGCCACTGGTTTCCTACGGCTGTCACTGTCAATGCACAATAATGCTAATGACTGGCTGCAAACCATCCCTCTGACACTGCAGTACCTTGGGTTCTATATCCTTGTTTAAATCTAGATTGCAGGGGGTCTAAAATAACTGCTTCCTCTCCTTTTGTCTTTTTATAGTTGTTTCTCATTTTGCCAGTTCCTGTAGTCTCTCTGTCCCTCCTACCCTACATTAGTATAGTACTGAAATGCCTCCTTCCCTCTAAGCTGTTTTTTATAGTAGGCGGTAAGCAAACAGAAAGGTATTGGAATGTTGTTGGGAACAAGCTGTTGTGTGATAGCTTATTGAAAATAGCATTTAAAAAGCCGTTTCCATCATGATATTGCCAACAGATGGACTCAGTACACTGAATGGTGATGTTCTCCTGCTAGTTAACTCTGAATGGATTCAGCAGATTCTGGGGAGCTATTTTCAAATTTAAATCATACCATTTACTGACTCCCAGTATTCTCATCATTTTGCAGAACTAAAGCTAGCTGTGTGGTATATATGGTCAGAACTTTACCACATTTTCTAAAATGTATCTCATGTGGCCCTACATGTGGCATACTTCCTATGCAGAAAATAGCAGCAGAAAGGCACATGTAGGTTTGTGCTTAACATATCTTCTAAATCTATGCACTAATACATGAGAAGTTGAATACACTATAGCATTCAGATCCTATTATGCTTCTTTCTCCATGTATTTTATGCACATTCCTTCAATATTCTTCCTTTGTTTTTCTTGCTTACCTAATCACCTCCCCCAAAGATCTTAACCCAAGAATTTAGGCAACAAAGCTGTATATATTTGCAATATAATGTTTGCAAACCGTTAATGTTAATTCTGCCTGCATATTTAATTCCTTTATCCCGTGCCTGCTGCATTCAATTACGTGGCAAGCTCTTTGAAGGTTAACACAATGGGATTCTATTCTTGACTGACCTCTTACCACTCATGTAAAACTAATGAATAGTGTTATACAATGCATGTAAAATAATTAATTATCTCTTGTCAAAAATGCCTCTTTGCACTTTTCTAGCAAAATAAACAGATTTTAAACAGATAGAAAGCAGGGATCATATAAATTTCCAAACCAGCTGTCATTCCTTTCCTCTTTTCATACGTATTGTGCATCTAGCACAGGAAGGTGCCAGTAAAAGGTAGAATGGGAAATTCTTCAGCAGCTGGTTTTGCATTAGGCAGGCTTTGGTAACTTGGATGAAACTGCCAGGGAAGGCTGGCCTTTCAACTCATGTTGTTATTTACATTTATAGCCTTACTTATCTTTCCTGGAGAGTTGTGCATATAACAGTTCACCTGCAGTGAGGAGAAACGCTGTATTTCTGTGTAAGCAGCAGCAGAAGGGACCAAAGATTCCTTCCTCCCACGAGTCTGGTGAGGGCAGGCAGTGCAGAGAGTGGAAAAGGAGAACCCTGGTGAGCTGAGTTAGAAGGCAGAGGTGGAGTCATTCTTCCTCCTGTTTTATTTGGCCTTTTCTTTCAGAGACTGCATGTCAGCTCACATGATGGCAGTGCATATTCAGGCCTCAGCACCCAACAGATTTTTAAGATGTTTGTATGAATGTGAGGTTAAGCACAGCACAGTGGCCTCTCCTCTCCCCTGTTCCAGAGGCTCCCATATCAAATACAGCTGGTGGGGAACCCTGTTGCCTACACCTGCTACATGGGGTCCCTGAAGAGGAGAGAGGCTGTGATGCTGCACTGCCAGCACACTGAGTGAAAGTACCACAGCTGGCAAGTATGAGACAGGAACAATCTCATACACAAAGTGTGAATCCTGAGGGGACTGGCATGGTGGCACAGTCAGTTAAGAGATTGGTTCCTCAGAGTACATTCAGAACTTGCTTTTTCTTTTTCCTTCTAGGTGTCTCTTAATCTGGTCTTAATTATTCTTCATCTTATATTAAAAACATGCCATCATAAAGCCTGGCTAGGATTATGTATTTCCCCACCAACCTTTCACTCATGTTTCTGGAAATTCATCTTTTCTTTAATGATGAATTTTGAAGTGATAAACCTGAAGGTTATTGTGACCCTAATGCTCGTGTCTTATGAGATGCTCTCTAAAATCTATCTAAACTTGTCTTTGGATATGTCTCAACTATTCCATTCAGTGTACTGTTACTAAAGCTAAAGCCTATTTTAACTGAAATGATGTATCTCCCTGGCACAGTGCAGCATTCTGGAGAGATACTAACTCAGATCTCAGAAGCAGTACTAAGTTCAGTGCCACAGTGCCACCCACCTCTACTGCTTCCAGCCCTGAAGTGAGCACTTAACAGTAATTCAGGGATCTGTATGCTTTTTTATCTGTGCATCTTAGCTATGGCTTTTTGCTGTGATCTAGCATTTTGCAAATACATGAGTTGTTTTCAGATTTTCACAGGGTCAGCCTCTGAAAAACAGGGATTATTGAGAAGTTATATATATGCCAATAAGAAACAAATATAGTTGAATTTAGTTCAGGGTTTGAATCACTTGATCATTTTTTTTTTTTCTGGATTGTCAGACAAGTCTTAGTAAGTTTTTAATTCATGAATTGCTAGTTAATGAAGACTTTAAGAAAGTAGTACTGCTTTAATTTAAAGACATATGCCTCTGTGAAGTATGCTAACAGCACATAGGAGAAAAAATGAGGTGTGGTAGGAGACCAAGTAGGTTAATAAGTTAACTGAAGTCCTCTGAAATATTAGTCTCTCTTTCAAGTTTTACCTAGCTACATTAGTACAGGTAGTAAAATATAGCTTACCTTATCAGACTTGAATTTTAGAAAGTGGTAGTAAAATTGAGTTTGTTCTACCAAAATTCCTATAGCTCTCTTTCTAGATGAAACTTCGACAAAAATGAGCTGCGTGTGATGTCTCATATATGTTTTTGTATTAGCCACTTAATTCAATAAGAATCTCCTTACTTTTTTGTTCAGGTCTGCTTCAAAAAAAATGAACTATATACCTAGAGGGAGAAGGTGCACCTTTTTATCCTAGAGACTGTTTCTTTTGCCAGTGCTATTTGCTGGTGGGTGAATTGGGGGGTCTACTTGTCATAAAATTGAATTCTGACTTCTCGCCTTTTAAATTCTTTATTAAATGTAATCCAGCATTTGCATATTCTCTTGTTGTCTTTTTAAGATATGTTTCAAATGGCTCACTATAGTACAGTTTTTGATGTCTAAATGTGGATTATTTAAAAGTAACTTTGATTATATCTAGCATGAATTAGTATTTTGCCCATTTTATGTGAATAACCCAACTCCCTAAGAGTGTTGTTTCAGTGATATAAAGAGGGCTTCTGGTAGAAAGACAAAGGAAGAGAGAAATTCAGTGTGTCTGACATAATAAAATCTCATCATCTTGTTCTTGCTGGTTTTATTGCTAAGATCTGCAATAATCTATTGATTGTAATACCTTTTTATTTTTCTTGTGAGTGTTGTCTTTACATTAGTCAACATATTTTTCTATTTATCTTTTTTAACCTCTTTAAACAAAGTTACAATTTTATCTATGGTCCATTATTCCTCTGGCTAAGACATTTATCAATATAATAGAAGGTAACAGTTCAAACGTTAGAGGACAAAAGAAATCGTCTCATTTTTCTGCAAGCAGTAATAGAATGTTATAGGACATCTATAGCCTCTGTTAGACCTATTTCACTTCTTTGGGCTACCAGGTGTGCCTTGTGTAATGTAGAACTATTTTCTGCACATACAGTGAGCCTGATGTACCAATGCACATGTAGTTCATCTAGGCATAAGGAGGTACAGGGACCATGACATTCCACCTCCCGTAACAGCCTGGGCGTTAATGGACAGAGTGACTGTAGGAGATATATGCTACAGAATCTCTCACATTGACCTAAAAAGTGATAGTAATTTACATTCAAGGAAACTATACCTCATCCTTTTTTGCAGTTGGGTGCAGGTATTACTTTGAACAAAACTAAACAAAATCACAGAATCATAGAATCATAGAATAGTTAGGGTTGGAAAGACCCTTAAGATCATCTAGTTCTAACCCCCCTGCCATGGGCAGGGACACCTCACACTAAACC